TCAAAAAGGCGAGCGCTTCGCTTCTCGCCTCAGTGAAGCGGGCCCTCGTCGCTATTTGTCGCCACACGCTATTCAAAACACTGCTTTTACCGAAGTCAAGTAAATTTTATTTGTCAATCAAAGAGTTAGAAAGCTAGTCTTAAACAGACCAATCTAAATTTGACCTCATTGCTGGATTCTGAGTTTTTGGCATTGCTCTTCACTCAATAATTACTCACAGAACAGTTGGATTGCGCAAGGGCTGAACTGCATTCAGGACAAAGGAGAAGCGGCATCTGTTAAAGGCAAATACACTAGTGGAGGGTCCCAGACCTCTTAACAGTGATGAATCCACCAAAGAAGAATTTGACCTTGGCCATAATTGGATGAATGGATTGAATACTGGGGGATGCACAAAAGTTAATGTTTATTTAATAGGAATGTATCACTACTGGTGACTGTATGCTGTTTAGACGAGAATCATCTTTTTGTATGCATCATATGTGCGACCATTCCAAATCACATCAATAAATAATTAAACCTTATCCACAAATAAAATATCATTTTGTATTCTCTGATTCCCGATGTTGTTAAGTGGTTATTGTTGTTCAATATCTAATGGTCTTGTTACTGTTTTTTCCAATGCTTAGGCTGTATGAGGCTTGTCAAGGAGCATCTTAGCTGTTGGCATTCAAAATCTGAACTCAAAGCTGAAGTCCTTTGTGGAATCAAGGAGATTGGTAGCATATTGTACTGGATGGGACTTCTTGATATTGTATTGGTAAGTTTCCTGAGCTTCTGGCATGACCAATAAGTAAATTATCCTCTCAGATACTATAACAGGTAGTTGGTTAGCCAAATAAGGGATACAGTTAGGTCAATGCAGGATAAATGTTGAATTGGTGATCTGCCATTTCCAGTAAATTTTTTGTCCCCCAGGTGGTATTTAAGTCTGGGAATTATGTGAAGATGTTATTAGATCCAACTCTAAGAAGACCTCTCATCAAGATTTAGTTAATTAAATAAAATATACTATCTTTAATAGTTTAAACTTTAGATGAGGTGGTCACACAATTCAGTTTAAAAGCCTCTAGGATCTTGGTAGAGAGTCAAGTAGTTTTTGCCTAATGGTGGGTGGACTGACTCAGCATGCCCTGCTAATGTTTTTCTTCTTTCTCTTCTATTTCCTTATTCCGGCTTCACTGTGTTGTACCTGTTTCTAGCGAACTTTCAGCGGCACTTCACCTTTGTAGTGACCGCTCCCACGACACCATGCCTCTTTTCGACAATTGTTAAGTATTGTCTCTCTTTTCAATGACTGTCCTCATGGCATTGCATCTCTTTTCCGTTACCATTCCAGGTCACACCATGCCTCCTTGTAGTGATCGTTCTTGCAGCACTGTACCTCTATCCGTCCATCTTTCTGACAAACTACTTTTCCAGCAAGATCTCAGCTATTAGAGCGTTTCAATCTAGATTTTCAGGCGATCTTTTGACAATATTGTTTCTATGTTTTCAAAATAAACAAGTTTAAGTTGGTTTCTCCGCTTTGAGTTTGAGTGGGCGTGTTGAATGTTAAAGAGAATGTGTCAAGGTTTTCTTGTTCCCTTTTTGATACAACTCCTAGTGGGCTTGCAATTTATGGTTCTTTTTCCATCGATGTATTTCTCTAATTAACTGATTACCTTTAGAATATGCGTTTATTACTTTTTTGGGTATATATTTGTCCGAAGACTTTTTTCTTTTCTGTTTTGTGGCTCTTCTTTTCTGCAGCTTTCTCTGGGGCCTTGTAATTTTGGTTTTTAATTTATTTTCCTGATTGATTTCTAAAATGCTATTTCTTTTTAATAGTTTATATTAGATTAGTTATGAATTCAGGCTAAGGCATTTAGAGAATAAAGGATTTGATCTGGTGAGCTATGCGATGCATAATCAGTTATACCATACCGTACATGGGAGAACTTTTATATTGAACAGCTAATCCCTTCATACAATCCAATGCGGAGTAATGGGATTTCCTGTCTTAAACAATCCCTCATGCCAATTGATCCTGTAAATAAGTGTTGGTGTGTGCTATCACGTCACGTGATTCTTGTCATTATTTACTTTTGGCATTAATTTTCTCATGTACCGATAAAAGTGAAATAAAGGTAATAGATCTAACCAATATATCAGTTTAGTTTTCCTATGAACAGGAATAGGACACCGTGAGGTAATAAGATGGTGCCACTGAACTTGTTTTGCTTGCTCTAATATTCTGTTATGTTCTTGGCAGGAATAACTCATCATTAAATTGTACTAGTTTGTTCTGTAGATAACACTTGGGACACATCTTCAGGCTTGTCATTTCTGTATGATCTTGCCACAACTGCTTTGCTTTTCTTTCTGTGACATATATTTATCGCACCAACATAAGTTAAGACCCAAGCAGAGGGTCTCTCGGAAACGGCCTCTCTACCTGCACAAGGTAGGGGTAAGGTCTGTGTACACACTACCCTCCTCAGACCCCACTTGTGGGAATATATTCGGTATGTTGTTGTTGTTGTTGCTGCACAACATAAATTACAAGATGGTTAATAGACCGACTGTTCGTTTGATCTCCTGGGCAATTTGCCTAAATCCTTGTTATCTGAAAGTAGTTTGAATATCTCAGTAACTAGAGTTTACTACATTGTCCTTTGTTATGTTTGGGGAAGGCAGACTGTTGAATAGCATTTCTGATCCTGCTGCTCACCTGGATAAGAGTTTATTACTTGCATAAAGTATGGAGTTGTGTCGGAGCGTGTGCTTGCAATCTCCTGAAGGCAGAAGTTTCTCCAATATTTGATCTCATCCTATGAGTCATAAAGTAGGTTTCTGCAAAAGGAAATGATGGAGCAAATGAATGTCTAATAGGCTTTTTTTTTTTTGGGACATGATGCCTTTTTTCATTTGGTTACATCTGTGTAATGAAGTTAATTGATCTTGGACCATTGAATTACAACAATCTTCACGTTCTTTTACTTTTTAGTTATCACCTTATTTTTGCTTGAAAAGTGATGGTATTTACTGTTGTGGTAGTGATAATATTCCACAAAGAGGAATCTTTAATATCTTCTGTATTATACATGTGACAGAGAGAAGTGGATACCCGCCATTTTATGCAAACTGCCCCTTGGTTGGGCTTGATTCCTGGTGCTGACGGGCAAATATTGCACTCTCAAGATGGGGGAGATAGCCCTATGGTCACTCTGTTTAAATCAGCAACTACTGCCACCACGTCCAACCATAACTGTACAAATCCATCATCATTTCACACTATATCAAGACAAGCAGAAGCTGCTGGTATGTACCTTTTCTGTATCCAGCCTTTTAATGAGCTTGTCGATATAATCATTTAAGACATGTTAAACAACTCATTATGGCATCTAAAGTCTGATATCATAGAATTCAGTCATGGTTCAAGTCTCTCTGGCACATTCCCCATTGGACTATGTCACTGTGATGCTTTAGTACCATCATTCTTACAGTGTCCTCTTTTTCCTCTTGAAGAAGAGGAATTTAATCTTATGTGCAGGAAAGCCCTATTACATAATTATATTACGTGCCAGAATATTTGCAACTTTTTAAAAGGCTTATCAGACAATTGGGATCCAAAAGACGGTGTAAACTTGCTTATTAGATAATTGGACCAGGAAAGATATTGCCAACTTGCTATATCTTGTCTTTATTAGTTAGTATCTTTTTCGTTGCCATGCTTCACTAGTTATGAAGCCATTTGCTTTTAAGATGAAAGGAAAAAACTGGACTGGTTCCTGTGGCTAATAAGGGTCTCTACATATTATTGAGTTGTAAACTATATAGGGGCAAGATATACTCCCCCTGTATCATATATTTGGTCACTTATTTTTTAAGCACATTTAGTGTGATTGGTGAGGAAGATGAGGGCTTGTATATGTGCGAAATTTTATGTGAATTTGGAAGGTCCCACCGCGAGCAATAAATAAATTATTAAAATTGCAGTTTAGGCTCATCTTCATGAATCATTTGAACTGAGTCCTTGCTCATGTATAGAAGGTAGTTATGAACTAGGGAAGCTAAGGTGGGAAGTTACTTCTGATTCCCTCTTGTTAAATACTCATAAAGATTCCTCCAATTTCGTCTCTCTTTCATGCTTTTGTGCAATTTCTATTTTCTTTTTCTCTGCAATTTTCCTTCTTGTAAGGAGGGTAGTGAACTACTGTGATTGTTACGTAACCTCAACCAGTAAACCCTGTTATTTGTTTGAGTTGCTCTAAGTTGATAATCTTGTTTGCTTTATTCTTGTATCATGTAACTTAAGCATTTCCACTTTCCATTTTGGTTTCAGATTTGTTGTATAAGGCCAATATTAACACTGGAAGTGTGCTGGAATATGCCCTTGCTTTTACAAGTGCCGCATTAGATAAATACTGCAGTAAATGGAGTGCAGCCCCAAAGACGGGATTTATTGATATTACCACTTCCAAGGACTTCTACCGGATTTTCAGCGGACTCCAGATTGTAAGATACAAAATGTCATTCGCTTCATTTGTTTTATAAAATTTCATTGCACTTTTAACTGCATATTTCAATGGTTTGAACATTAATGATGTCTTCAATGTTGCAAATTTGTTGTGCACACATTATATTTGTCTCTGGTTACAATTTTACCTGATTAATACATCAACAACTATCAGCTGGACTGTCATGGTTTATGCAGAATCCCTGCAGTTTACTACCTCTGTACCTTTTTCTGATTAAAAGAACTACCTCTATCGCTTTTTGTTTGACCTATTTCCTACTTTAGTCTATTAGAATGTTTAAGTGTTTAGTGTTGGAGTAGAGTGTTAGAAGAGTTATGTTCTTATGTTAGCTATTGTCCCACACTGTAAAAATATCATGTGTTTTTATTCAACACTTATAAGTAGGTGTGCCTTGTGTTTTCATTAAATTAACAGGTCTTTAGTATGTCTCTTCCTTTCTCTTTCTTTTTTTTTTTTTTTCTTTTCACATGGCATTGTAGCCTTTACAATCTTGGTTGAGACTCCCTTATTTTTTTTTTTGGTTGTTAAAAAAGTCACGGTAGGGGTAAGGTTATGTTGTTGGTGTTGATTGTTAACTGCGTACACACTACCTGCCCAAACCCCACTATGTGGGATTACACTGGGTATGTTGTTGGTGTTGATTGTTAAAAAAAGTATTGATTTCAGCAGTTGAGACTCAAATCGTTTATGCTTACCGTCATGTGGCCATACACCTACCTGCCCCACCAATGTTTTCCTGATTTCTTTCTGCATTGTATTTGTCCCAGTGGCAATCGATGTTGCTCATCCTTCTGCCAGCCAGTTCCCCTCTCTGGTTCTTTGGGTCGCTCCTCTGACTTACCCCAGCAATCCTCTACTTTGCCTTTTTTCGGAATAACTTATATTCAAAGCAGCTTTTTCACACGTCACTCCTCTCTGTCCGGCTATTTAAATAGCTGTCACTTTTTGATGACTGCCTGACACCTTTTCACTGACCACCCGGCTCCTCTTTTCAGCAACCGTCCAGCGCCTCTCTTCAGGCTCACCCCAGCGCCTCCTTTTGGCTACCTCTCCGATGGCACCACACCTCTTCTAGCGAATCTTCTAGTGTCACCTTGCCTCTTTCCTGTGACTGTTCCAGCGTTACTGTGCCTCTTTTCACTGACTGCATCACTGCACCTATTTCCTATGACAGTTCCAACATCGCCATGCACTGTACCTCTCTGACAATGCCACACTTCTTTCTGGTGACTATTTTCGATTCATCTCCTGGATACTGCTCCAGCAATATATTTTCCAACGACCAGAGCTTTTCCAGCCGGATTTGGCAGGATTTTCCAGTATGTATTCTGACTATATCTACTTTTAACGTCTTCAACACAAAGAAATTCAAGTTGGTTTTTCCACTTTGAGTTTGAGGGGACGTGTTAGGATGTTGAGAGTTAAAGTGTTAGAGGAGTTATTGTCTTATATTTGATGTAGTCTAATTTTAAAAAATTATCATGTATGTTAACACCTATATATAGGTGTGCCTTTTCTTCACGAAATCATCAAGTCTTCATCTATCTCTTCCCTTATGTTCTTTTTTCACCTAATCTATCCCCAATTACTTCTTTCATGTAATGGTGATTTTTTCCCCTCTCCTTTCCAGGTTATCTCGATATGGTCGTTCACTTTCGTTAGGTGGAATGTTCTAATACAATTTAAATAATGGAAAAGGGCTATAACTGCCCCTGGACTATTGGATTTGGTATAATAATACCCTCCGTCCACCTATTTTGCAAAATTTGCCCCCACCGTTTTCTTTTCGGCTCAAACTACCCTTATGACTAGCCCTATCTTTTAAAAAAAAAACTATAATTAGTTATTACATGTCATGTTTCTATTGGCCTAACTTAAACCCACCCCAAATTAAAATAAACCTACTCGTATCCTAAGACCCATAACCCGCCTGCCCCAATTGTAAATTGAATTCCGAATAGATTTCATGTCTGATGGAATCTGGAATATTTCCAATAAGATTCGCTGTTTGGGCATATAGAATACGAAGTTTTCCGATTCACCCGGCTGTGGTAGGCAATGGACTTGACTTAAAAGGATTTTGAGAGAATGGCCAATCGAGTCAATTCGGTAAGATTCGTTAAGAACCCAGGAAATGAACCATTAAGGAGATTGTTGGCAATACCGAGCTCTTGTAATCTGGGGAACCGGCCTAAACTCGTTGGAATATCAATGAAATTATTTGAAATTAACATCGAGCGAGGTCAGGTTATCAAATTTGGCTATAAACTGCACCGCTTACCAGCGAAGTAATTTGAAAAATATTCAAGAAGTGTAGATTTGAACATAGAGACCAGGAGTCGGAGGAAATGGAGCCACCAAAACTGTTATCACCGATATTGAGTTTCTGCAAAGTCGAAATCCGGTAAAACTCGGTTAACTTTATGGGTTTTATGAGTCAAAGTTGCTGCTAATTTCTTGTTCTTGTCGTTGACTCTACCTCGCCTTGTTGACGCGATTTCTTCCAATTTGATTGCGGCAGAGATATTGAGTGGGAAAGTTTGATATTATGCTTGTATTGTGGTGAATTAAAGTGGCTAAAAATATGATACAAGAAATTATAACAATCCTTGAAAACTCATTTCGACACGTTACCATATTTTTTTGTGTGTTGTCTAATAAGTGATCCAAACTTTTATTTTTCGTTTTTACTGTGGATGATGTCGTGAGCTTTATTATCACCCTTTGTAAGAAAAGAATGTAGCAATCGTTGCCGGGAAAAATGGTGGAGTCGTCGGCTAACTCGGACGAGTACAAGATGAAAGTTGTGTTGGAAATTGTGAGAATGCACAGGAGAAAAATCTATTACTTAACAATGATACAATGAGCACTATATATAATACATATTTTATTCCTACTACATATGGGACTAGGACATATTCTACTCCTACTACATATGGGACTAGGACTATTTACACATAACTATCTAACACTCCCCCTCAAGCCAGTAGATACAAATAATATGTACCGAGCTTGTTACATATATAACTAATACGAGGACCAGTGAGGGACTTGGTGAAAATATCTGCAAGCTGATCATTCGACATACAAGGCCAATAGACTCCCCTGAGCAACAAAACCATGTGGCTGCTGATAAACAGAAGTTTGCCGAAGGTCGCCGGAAAAATTTGAAAATAGTGAGACTAAGCCGAATTCCACACTACAAAATAGGTTCTAAAACACCACCAGAAAACATAAACTTTTCTGGAAATCACTGTTCATGCAGGAAAAAATAAAAATTGTCAGAATTTGATATAATTTATATGGGTAGGCTCGAAATCACTGGACGAGTAAGTTGTCATGACGAAGTAATGTCAAAAAGTGGCCGGTATGGCTCACACGCGCCAGAAACGTTACTGTAGCTCGCCGAAACCCTAGTTATGGCGGCGCGTGAAGGCGCATGACTTTCTGCCGAAGCGATTGACTGGGGTTTTGTCGCCTGACTTTTCCGAACAAGATGGTAGTGTTGGTTTTCTCACAACACTTACAATGAGGAGATAACGCAAGCCAATCTTGAGTAGTCAACCAGAAAGATGCACAGTGACTGAATTTGGTCGCACAAGGGTTTCGGATCTGATGGTGGTATTGGTATATTCACAGTACCACTGTAGCAATGATGAACCCTGGGAACAAGACGAAGTTGCTGGAAAATTGCACAACGAATCGCTGGAATGACGCACAACGATAATTTTCCCACTGAAGCTCTAATACCATGTGAGAATGTACGGGAGAAAAATCTATTATTTAACAATGATACAATGAGCACTATATATAATACATATTTTACTCCTACATATGGGACTAGGACATATTCTACTCCTACTACATATGGGACTAGGACTATTTACACATAAATATCTAACAGAAATGTTTTGGAGAAAATTAAAAGCGGGTCAATTTTTGGGTTACGGGTGGGTTCAGTTAATTTGGCGTGGGTTTAAGTTAGGCCAATAGCAACATGACACGTAATAATTAATTATAGTTTTTTTAAAAAAAAGATAGAGCCGTTAGTCATAAGGGTAGTTTTGAGCCGAATAAAAAACGGTAGGGGCAAATTTTGCAAAATAGATGGATGGAGGGTATTATTGTACCAAATTCAATAGTCCAGGGGTAGTTTTGGCCCTTTTCCGTTTAAATAACACAAAAAGTTTTGACTCCCTACTGTTACTATGGTAGACAGTAATCTTTTTTGTGTACAAATTACGCACTTGGTGCAGTTTAATGAAATCTCATCTTGCTTATCAAAGATTAAAAGAAATAAAAATCCATTCCTATTAGTTTCTGACTTCCTGCTTTTGTAATGTATTCGCTCCCTGTATTTTTTCAGAAGCTGTAAAAACAATATGCTTTTCCAGGTAGTCCAATATTGGTTATCCTCTCTAAATTAGTCAAAATTACTACTTGTAGTCCATGATAGTTTTTTTTTACAAGTACTTGTAGTCCATGTTAATTTAGTCTATTTAGCCAAGATATGATCTCTTCTGCAAAGCCAAGGCCAACATGTTTCAGCATTGGTTTTAACATATGACAGGATAACCCAACTACATTCATCAGACATATTTTTCCAAATCTGCACTACTCAACTAAAGTAGATATAATACAGAGGGACCTATAGAGTAATACCGTCATTATACAATAAGGCAGGACTCTTTATTATTTTCTTAAATTTGACAATAAAGCAAGATTTGTTAAAGGAAGACACCAATAAGAGAATATCATTACCTTTTCCCAAAAAAAAAAGAAGAGGAGGAATTAGTTATCCTAGTGTAACTTTAAGTAGAACTCTCCAATCCCTTTGGAGTCGAGGGGGTGTCGTCGAGATGAATATTCCTCATGGGAAGCCTAAAAGGTTGTTCCCTAGAACCTTAGTGATTCATGGCCAAGATATAACCTTGTTTATTAATCTGATAGTCAGAGAGTGGAAATATCTTTGGCGTCAACTGTTGATTTGACGTTGTTGTCAACTGTAGGAATACTTGGAGGAATCTGTTCAGCTACAATCCAACACTTACGAAATGTTGGGCGACTCAGTTGCTTGGGGTGGATGTACAATAATCTACCTGCTTGGCCAACAATTGCATTTTGAACTGTTTGATTTTTCCCATCAAGTCCTCAATGTTGCCGAGGTGGAGTCTGTAGCAATATCGCCAACACAGAAGAATCCTAATTTCCTCCAGGTATGAATTGTGAATTAACCAAACAAATAATGTTCTTTGTTATTTTGAACATGTGGAACTGCATCTGTAAGAATTAACACTATAATTATGTTCTCCACTTCATGATGGCTTATGTTTCTTTCAACTAAAATTATTCGTAACTGTGTCAACTAAAATTTTGCTGTGACAGCTTACTTGGCGCATAATTATTCCAACCACTGCTCTCTCTCTCTCTCTTTCTCTCTCCCCCCTCCCCCCTATATATATAGGAGATTAATGACTGATTTAGTATAGGTACACCAACTTTTCATTTCATATAGTTCTGAGAAAGTGAAACATACAAACTGGGAGTTGTGTTTTTAGGTGACATGCTGAAAGCCTTATAAAAACAGGGTTTTGCTTCATGCTTTGCTGCTAATACCTTATCTTTACCAACCTGCTGGGATCTTGTCATGCTGCATTAGCAAAGAAAGATTAAGGCAAAACACAGGGATATAGATATTACTCTAGAATCAAGTAATCAGGAACTAATAGAGCTTATTGACTACACTATTGTTTCTGTCATATACCTCAGAATCTCCTATATATGACTATGAAATAAAGCTTTCCCCCTCACCTTTCTTGTTGAATTGTGATCTCCTCATCTAAAAGTGTAAATTGTTAGGGAGGAACACTTTACTCATTTATTTAGGTCAGCAACATGGATTCTCATGTGTTGACCTGATTCTTTTTCTTGGGCCAAGCACGTAGAAATATTTTGAGTGATGTTTGGCGGCAAGACTTGAACTTGGGACATTTGTTTACTACTGTACCATGTCAAAAAATTTAAATGTCCAATTCAAAACCTTAAGGAAGTGGATTGAGTAGCCAAAGACTTTTATAATCCCACCTGGAAGCCCTTAAATAACTCATGATAAATTTATGACTCAACACCTGTTCGTATGTGTAAGCGGATTATGGGGTTCACACGTAAACTTTTATGCCAACTTAGGAGTGTGCCTTTTCGAAGCCTTTATAGTTTTTATGACTCATGTGATAACTATACAACTCAACATCCTCTCGCACGTGTAACCTGAACTTTTGAGCGTGACAATGAGCTCATGAAAGATTGATGCAAATCCCGTGTTGAATTATGTGATTAACTTATCTAACAACTTAAACTGTTCGATAAGGAACATTTTTATTTATTCATTTTAGGTCTGACTTGTTTCTTTTTTTTTTTTGGGCCAAACATGTAGAAATTCTTGCAAACCTAAGATAAAAATAAATGTGTTTCCTCTCTAACAATTTAAACTTTTAGATAAATTGTCACGCCCATCAGGTCTCATGGTCACCATTATATAAAAAAGTTCACATAGTTGACCCTGAAAAGAGTTCAACCATCACGTGAGGGGCGTGTTTGCAAGCCCAAAATCAATTAAAAAAAGGGTCTCCGCTCTAACAGTTTAAGCTTTAAGATGACTACAACAGCCACAATTCAATCCAAACCTAAGCTTTACATGGTACCGGTCACATATCCAAAAGAAATATTTATGTTGATTGATGTGGTAAGACTTGAACCTAGAATCTCTACGTGCTATGATATCATGTGAAAAAACTCTGACCATACAACCCAAAGCCTTAGGGTAATTGGTATAAGAGCCAAGATCTTTATAACCCTTTTAGAAGTCCTACACATCTCATGTGAAACCACTATATAACTCAACAGTCCCAGGACCTTAGTTGTGATCTCACAATAACAATTACAATCATTATAGAAGGTTGTTAAACCTAACAAATGAGATTAAACAGAATCAAAGATCTTAAGAAAGCTATCACGTGTTTGTTAAGGGGTGCAGTTATGCTCCTGAAAGCTGTTTAGCTGGAAGATCCATCAAACAACAATAACAATGACAACAACTATGCTTCAACCCTAACCTAGTTGTTGCTTCTAAGATGAATTAGGGGTTTTCTGCAATTAGAACTTCTTTAACCTTACACTACATGTAAATCTCTAACCAAACTAAAAAGACTACTGACAATCGCCAAACCTAATGTAAGTTTGTCAACAATGACCTAATCCCAACTAATTCATATTGCCTATTTTGACGACTCTCATCTTGTGATGTGTTAAGGTCTTAGAAGCCAAACATTCACTTTAATATAACATAACATTTTGGTCTCACAACTATTTCATAGATTTCTCATTCACTTTGGTAGGTATGTTCACATAGCAATCCTATAATACTTATCTAGGTCGGCCATCTTATTCTAATGTTGTATTTTCGTTTTCTTCTATTATGTTTTTCTCTTGAAACTCTGAGAAATTTGAAATGTCTGCATTTAAGCATCCAATCTTGTTTGATACTATCACTTTACTTGATTCTTCTTGTAGGTATTAAACTTGTAATGTTTATTCTGTCTTACGTAAACACTTTTTCTAAAATCTGTGCTCCATAAAATGATTCTTAGTTCAAGCTTGTTGATTCCTTCACTAGTTTCGTCAATTAATACAATATCATTTGCAAATAGCTTGCACCATGGAATTCAATCTTAGAAGTTGACCATAAAACATAAATCAGATAATGAAATAAGGGCCTCGATTCTTTTTTACTTTCACTTTGTCTCCTTTCTCAAAAAAAAAAAAAGAAAAAAAAAAGAAAGAGGATTTCTCTTTCTCATCTCATTTCCACCTTAATATTATTCTAAAAGCTTACGACAATTTGATTCAGACATTAACATCATGGCATAATGGAATATAGTGAAGATGTATTAGTTGAAATCAAGCAAAGGTGCCAAAATTAATAATAAAACAAGATCAAAACTAACACAAAATGGAAACTAAAGCACCAAAAATTCATGTATGTTAGTCTTTCAGTATGCATAATCATAGTAGTGAAGAAAATGTGGCGATGATTTCAAAAGGAAAATGGAAAATGATGGAAAACAATATAGTAGCTATAAATAATAATCGAGGGAAAGGGTAATTGTGGATTTGAAAGTCGTAGGATTTAGCTAGCAAGAAGTTCGGGTCCTAAACCAAGGGAGAGCGATTAATTTTATTTGCAAGTGTTGGACTATGGATTGCCATTTCGTATCCTTTTCAATTCTCTTTATCACTATTGTTTACACTCATTTTGGTATGTAGAATATCATATATTTTCCATCTAATCCTTTCAGCCCTACATTGACCAATCTTACTTTCAATCTAAAGGGAATTGAAGGTTTGCTAGAAGCTATGAAGAAAGCTAGGAGGCTAAATAATCACGTATTTTCAATGTTGAAAGCCCGCTGCCCATTGGAAGATAAACAGGCTTGTGCGATCAAACAAAGTGGTGCACCATTGCATCGGGTAAAATTTGAGAATACTGTGTCTGCCTTTGAAACATTGCCACAGAAAGGTGCCTGAGATCTTGCTTCTATTTTCATTGTGGGTGCTGGCATGGTATGCCCGTGTTATTGTGTATGTAATATATGTATATTGCTGTACTTGTTGCTCTGACAATGAAGGATAGTACTTTATCAGTGATGGTAGAGATTCAGATGTTGTAAAACTAAGTAAAACGAGTTCATCAAAATAGTTGCTGAGGCAGCAGAATGATATATTCAACTAGTTCAAATAATGATCCGATAAATAGGTAATGGAGAAAGAGCAGAGAGTACGCAAAGACTGCCAGATTCGCTAATCTGGCGCTTGCTTCTCTAAAACTCTTAAATCGGGGCAAAATGCAACCAAAAAAAAAAGGGGG